AAATCAAAACAAATCAAATAAAATCCAAAATATTGAAAGTAAGAGATTTTGTGCTTGTTTTAGGTTCCAATTACAGCTAGCAAGTCAATCAAACTCGTATCAAGGCATGTGTGCACAAAAAGATTGGATTTGGACCAATTCTAGAAAGTTTTCAAAGGGTATCAAATCACAATCCAAATCATTGAAGGAGGAAGATTGAATACAGCTTATCAACCCTAATACATTGCTTGGTACATATAGAGTGCGTGCAGACTCAAAAAGAAGGTTGGAAGCAGGCGCAAGAGGCATAACAAAAACTGAAAAAATCAAGAGAAAGTGGTAAATCGAAATCCCATTTAGAGGCAGTTTCAAGACTCTTTGCCTATCCCAATTGATTCCTGGGAGTCTCAGCAAGCCAAAGCAATCAAGAACCAAGCCATTTCGGCCCTGTATTGCACTGTAAGTCAGTCACGGTACCCCATATTTCTTGAATTCGAATAGCATGATATAAGCATTGTTAGGATGAATTAGACACATATTCTTGATCTATGGAACATATGCAAGCTTTCTGCATCATTTAATTTCATTTATATAGCCTGTAGCGAATTTCACCATGGCTAGGTTTCGAAGCTTCGAATTAGGGTTTTTGTCTATAGATGAAATTAACTTTGATGAAGGGTACCATTGTGTTCAGAATGATGACATGAATTCAACCATGGTTTTGTTTTTCATTTATCATGTTTGTGCTTGATTTTAAGAGTGATAGGGGCTATAGCGACGAACGTTGTTCGTAGGTAAAAGTTCTCAGAACTTTTAGCCACAGAGAGAGGAAGGAGACGACTGCGTGTCACTCCCATATTGGAACGTTCAAATCTGGCGCGCGTTTTCTCATTATTTTCCAATAATTCTTTGTTTTATACATTATTATTATTTTTCATTATATGTATAATAAGCAGCAAGTGGTGCAGTGGTGAGCGTAGCATGGAATTTGCCTTGGGGCCTAGGTTCGAATTCCAGGTCCCCCAACTTCTTCATATTATTTTTCTTTACAGGATCCAGTATGTTCACAGGCCAGGAGTCCACCATATGTCCTTATCATCAATCATGCCAAGTGTCAGATGGCTAAATCTGATGGCCATCCAGGAGGGTGCACCATGAGCCACAGTCAACATGCAACATGGAATTCTCAAGGTCAACGTGGACCTTCTCTTTTGGGCCTAGAATTCTGATTTTGGCACCCCCCATTATTTCAGGCCCATTTTCTTTTCTCCTTTTTTATATTTATTTCATTTAATTATTTATTTATTTATTTACTTACCAATCAATTGTTTTCTTTTTATCAAAAAATCATCAAAATTATTTTTATGTCCAATCAAATTTAAAATATTTATTTTTATTAAAAAAAATTAATTTATTTAATTAGGCTATTAACTTTAGACAATTTTAATTCTTTTTTGCAAATAATTAAAATTAATTAGAATATATAGGTTTTATTACTAACTTAATTATATTTTATCTTTTCCTAAAATAACCCAAAAAACCAAAAAATAGGTCATTTAATTATTTTTATTAATTAATTTAATTAACTAATTAATTTTCATATTTAATTTAGAAAACTTATTTCTTTTATTAAAAACAACAACAAAAACAATTTTTTCTTTTAATTAGGATTAGAAGGGTCAAAACCCTAATTTCTCGTCGATCTAATTTTCATCGCGCGCTTTATCATTATTTTTATCCATATTGATGTAACTGCCTACAGTTTGTAATAGTTTAAATAGGACGTTTATTTACATTTACCGCTTTACTTTTCAAGGGTTTGTTTTTGGCTATGTAAATACCAGAAGCCTTGTAATAGCGTAGTTTAAATTCCGCATTTTAAATTTCGCAAATTATTAACTGTTAGATGTATGAATAATTAGGGTTTGCATAACAAGAATGTATGTTAACTTTAAAACAGTTAGATCACCTTAAATGTGCAAAGATAAATAAACTGAAATTGAATCACTTGCACATACGCACTCCTAGGGTACACTCCCACTTGGTTGCCTTCGGTAAACGGTCATTAAGTATAGGGTATTTTAGTGGTCGTCCTTTTGTCCAAAGATCAAAGTTGCCTCAGAAAGGTTGCCTCGGATAAGGTTGCCTCGGATATTGTTGCCTCGGATAATTGATCTAAGACTTTAGGGTTACTACTAAGACGTCCTAACATTGCTTTAGTGACCGTACGTCCCTCTCAAATTGACCCTCAAAACTCCAACGATGGTGCTACCTACTCACTAATAGTGGGATAGCGCTGTCTAAAGGAAACAAGCATATAACGATTCTTTTTTCGAGTAGGTAGATTAGTTCTTAAGTACTTGCTCATCCCAAACAAATTTTTCACACTTACACTCCTTTACAAACAAATTTTTCAAAAAATACTTCATTACACTCTTGAAGACAGAAGCAAGAGTTAAATTGAAGTTAAAACAAAAACTTTTCAAAACACACACACACAAAGAAAACAATTTTGAAAATGATGAGCAAGTACCTAAGAGCCCGTAGATAAATACGGATAAAAAGGGTGCTAATACCTCCCCTTTCTATAATCTACCCCCCGTACTCAGAAATATCTCGAAAAAGGAATTTTTCTGTGCTTTTTTCCTTTCCTTGTTGGATAAAATAAAAGTCGGTGGCGACTCTTGCTTACCGCGACATTTTGCGAACACAAACGCAAAACACAAACCAGCAAATTCCTTAACGAAATAGGGAAACCACGATCCCGGTTCTGGCCACCGTATCACACCTGGGTCAGCTTCAACAGTCGTTCACGACGCTCCTTCATATTACCTGCGAAAACAAAAACAATATCCCCGGGTTAGCCTCGTTAGAAGGACATAAACGAATAACTCAAGAAGTAAAAATACAAAAAATCATGCAAGTAGAAACCTAGAAGGTTCACGGCTTGCCCGTAGGTGCGACACTTAACGAGCGCCTTGGTGATGATCGGGCGCGCCTCGAACGTTCGCTCGCCATCTTCGTTAAGGATGTCATGTCCTTCCCTCGTGACCCACCTCAAGGGAAAGAACACATCGACGAATCAATTAAGGACACCGAAGGACTCTTCATCCTCGACAATCATACTACCGACAAGGGTATGGTAATGGCTAAGACTATGCTCATAGTGGCCTGAACACCAGTGGATAGGGAATTTCAAAAGTCGCCCAATCTCTGGATTGCCCTCCCCATCGTAGCATACCTTCCCGTCTTCATCTACTATTTGAACCGGGTCGAATACAACATCCACGACCGCCTAAGACGAAGGTTGCACGATGTACCATCTATCCTTGAAGTCACAAACATAATCCATATACATCCTAAACAGTCTCTTTGACTGTTTCAAAGAAACCCAACTATATTTCCCACCTCTAGATTGCCGTTGGAGGTGGAAAACCCTGAAGAACAAAGGAATGGTCGCCCCGATCTTCCAGGAACTGGCAAGTGATTTCAAAAGCACGGATAAAGGCGATCGCATTAGGGTGTAATTGAGAGGGTGCCAAGTTCAAATGGTTAAACACACCTATCTGAAAATCATTAAAGGGAAGACGAAGCCCCAAGTCTTTGAAGACAACCTCATACATAGGGAAACGGCCCTCCTTGAATTCTATGCATATCCTGGTCGTGGGAGTCGGTCGCAGGATCGTGAAGTTCCAATAAAAACCTTCCATATCGCTGCCATGCTCGACAATGGTATATGCTTCCCTTCTGCTATAATTATAGACCGAAGCTATCCCTTGAGGCTCTGACCCGACCCAGGACAGTGCAGGGTCATCGACTGTGTCGATCGAATGGAGCCCTTCTTCGGTTGTGCTTGTCTCTTCGACATCTATGTGCTCGGATGACTCGAGGGTTTCGACCATTCACCTGTAAAACAGAGGAAACCAGTGAATTCGACAGCTAAATCAAATCTATCCTTCCACCACGACATAAGTGAAAGGGGATAACTATGCCCGAACTAGGTCGACGATCACTCGTGCAGTGAGAAGCATACACGACCCACAATCAACACATGGAACTTATGCAAGTCTCGTAAGACCGCACAATTGTGACAAAGATAAAACGTATATTCATGAGTAACGCGGGCATGAGACAAATCTCACGAACATACCCATAAATGCCGCAAGAAATATATTAATTTGCCGGACAAATTCGTGAATCCACCGTGGAGCAGGTAAATATTCTGGGAAAATTCATGAATTTTGCGGGGAGCAGATGAATATCCCGGGCAAATTCACGTATTTTGCAGGGAGCAGATGAGTTCCACGGGCCCACTCGTAAATATTACGCGTAAATGTATGAACACCCCGAGCAAAAACCCACCAGTAGCGAAATTCTATAAAGAATAATCAATAAAGCCAAATGTAAACAACATTCAGTACGAAAAACACTTACTTGATCAGAGTAGGTGGAGAATCCGCGACAGATCTTACGGCAGCATTGACGGTGGGAAGACAGAGAAACGGTACAGGCGACAGAAAAAGTGGAGAGAGCGAAAAGTTAAAATGTGGGAAATGGACCTTAAGGCATTATATATAGGACTGACGTGGAATACGAAGCGTCGCATAGGGCAGCCCATCGACTACCCTTCTCCTCGCCGCCTACGCGCTCAGGTAATAATGACCCTTACTCCCTAGGCCATCATTATTATCCCAAAGGTCACGCCACGTGCCCACACCATGCGAGGTTTCCTCTCCCCGCGAGTTGAGGAATAATTGAAACATTCCCCATCAAGCCAATTCCAACCTCTGCTCGAGTAACCGCGCATCCTAGCGACCCTCTCCCTCGATGCAGTAAAAGATCCCCGACGAAATCATGCTCTCCGTAACGAGAAGTTGGAATTAAGTCATAACTCCTTCATCAGGAGCAACGACTTAGGGGGATCATGTTCTGGACTGGGCCTGTACTTGACCCAACTTTATATGAGGCCCAATCCAACTATGCTGCTCAAGGAAGCCTGCTGACCGAGCCTGCCCTCGACTATGTCGGGTAGCAACCTCACCCTTCAGGAAAACGCGGTTTCGCCATACGGGGATAAGTCCAGGAATCGCGAGGAGGCTCATCGCCGGTCAGGAGGACCTCGCGAGCATCTCCACTCTTCTCGTCGACCAAGACAAGCCCTCTTGGACAACCTCACAGCTGACGGGGAGGATCCACGACAGACAAAAGGACATCGCAAACATCCTCCTCGTAGGGTTGACTCACAACACCCCCGAATATCAGAGTCCTCTTGGTCCCGAAAAGATTGTATTCATATCCTCCTGACTATTCGGGGGAGTCCATCCAAATTGGGGACCACGTGTTAGCCCCACTACGCACGTAGGACCCGACAATCTCCATTTTGTACCTGCTTGCCCAGCCCAATAATGAGGATCTTGGCACAACGCTGGGGCTATAAATACCCTCTCACTTGAGAGGGTCAGGTATTCATTCTTTCATACTCACTCTCATACTTGCTCACACTGCTCTGAACCTTACTTTGGCATCAAAGTGTCTTGCAGGTATCCTCTATCTCATTTCCAGCTATTGTTCAACTCACAACTCGTAGACTTTGACGATCCATTCTGGTCAGGTACGATCACTAACTTAGGCCTCACAACTACACCCCTCACTTTCTTTGATTCCATCCCTTGCACATTAGAAAGGATTTTGTAAAGAATATGCTTTGTATGTCTTTCTTTAGGTTTATCAAATTTTGAATGGGTTTTGATCTAATCCCCCATTTTTTTTGTAACTATCACTAGTTCAAAAAATCTAATATAATTTTAAAATTTACACTCGATATACAAAAATCAGATGTAAATAAAAAATACGGTGACAATTTTATAAATAAACTATCATATTAAGTATTATCACGTGACAATGTACACCCTATTTTCTAAAAATGAATTTAAATTAAAAATAATATTATAGTCAAATCTCAATTACTCCCTTTAAACTAAAAAAACGAGTCTAAATTTATATAAACTAAATAAATCATTTAATTTTATAACTCAAAATATTTAATCTATATGACATTATAGATTAACAAATAATTTAAACAATATCAACAAATTAATAAATTAATAGATGAATATTAATGAGTCTAAATATATTCTAACAAATTAACATTAACAAATTAATATATTTTAAATATATTCTAACAAATTAATATTAACAAATTAAACATTATTCAAGCATGTAACATTATTCTAAATCGTTTCTAAATATATTTTTATAAAAATATAATAATTTCAGTTCAAGTTCTAAACCCAGAGACTCTTCATTTTCCACGATTCTTAGGAGTTCAAGTTCTAAACCCAGAGACTCTTCATTTTCATCGCAGAAACAATTCACTTTCACCGAAACTCTTTTCATTTCAAGTTCTAAGCGCAGAAACGATTCATCGCATTTCAAGTTCTAAGCACAGAAACGATTCATTTTCACCAAAACCCTTTTCATTTTCACCGAAACTTTTCACTCATTTCACATTTCACCATCGCAGTTCACCACCCAGACGATTCATCAACACCGAAACCCTTTTCATTTTCACCGAAACTCTTCGCTCCGAAACTCTTCTCAATGAAGCTGAAGAGGTATGGTTTTATACTTTCAGCGACATGCATTGGTAGCAGAAGAATTAGGGTTTTATACTTTGTGTGACATGCATTGGTAGCTGAAAATAGATTGTTGCGTAGGTTTGTGCGTAGATTTGGGTTTGATTGTTTGATGGAAATGTGAAGGCATTGAACTGATGCAACTGTTGTGGTTCTACATTGGGTTTTTTTTAATTGAATTTTGAACTGGAATTTGCATTGTTTTTGCACTGATATGCATGAACTGAGCTGTTGGATCTGCATTGGTAGGGTTTTATACGTTGAGCTTATGCATTGGTAGCTAAAGAATTAGGGTTTTGTTTCAGAAGTTAGTTCCTAACTTTTGTTTTCTTCATTATTGTTGTTTTGTGGTTTTAGTTTGTTGTTAAGAGTAGATATTCTATAGTGCATGTTGAAATAGACCCTATGTGTGTAAGTGCATGTTGAAATAGACCCTATGTGTGTAATATGTTCTTCGTTATGATTTAATTTCTTCTTCTGATCTGCCTTTCTTTGTGTCTTTTCTTCTGCTGTTTTACGATTTTAGTGTTATATATATAGAATATCGCATTGAAATTAGTAAGAAAAGCCAATTTGCAGAGCAAGAGCATCGACAATTCTAACTGTAACTTTTGCAGCTTAAGCCACTGCTTGAAGAAATGGAAAGCAGGTCTTCCAGGAAAGAATATGGTCAAATCCTTGTAAAATGCCACAAATTATACTAATAACGCCTCTCTTTGGTGAGATGATACAAGCTTGTCATTTATATTGTTTGTATTATTTTTTCAATATTATCCAGTTAACTGACTGGAAGGTTATTTGTTGTATTCCATGAAGATAAGAAGCATAGTTATGCTTGGCCTTAACGTTTGGTTCACTATGACAAAGAGTTATGCTTTGCCTTAATGTTTGGTTCATAGCTTTCAACTTTATCTTCTTCTTTTTTTTTGAAAAAACAAATGTTATCGGTTTGGTTTTGTAGGTTTAAAAACAGAAAAACAAGTATCTGTTTTGCAAAACAACCTAATTAAACAAGTTTTTCAGTTTCTATTTTTTTTAAGTGAACTGTTTTTGAAAATAGAATTCAATATGGCTCCTATTCACTGTAATTTGGAGTGCAGGTCTGTCAACTTGAACACCAGCTGTTTGATCATTTTTTTCCCAGCTTCTTCGAAGGATGTTTTGAGTTTATCTCCATTAATGGACCCTCTGTAAGTGTGTATTCCTGTTTCATAAGCATACTAAGCTTATTTTATCCGAATAGAAAAACATTGTTTAGGAAAAGGAAAAGAAATACACATAAAGGAGAGTAATCTATCCTACTAGAGTAACTTCAGAATAAAACAGGATAGAAAAAAAAAGTACTTGAAGGGAAAAGAATCGTGTGTTTTTCCCTTTTATTTGAAGGAATTTGTAGTCAGTATAAGGATTTTTCTCCTACTCAGGATATTTGTGTTTGTATTCTGATAGTTATTGTTGAAGATTTAACTCACTGTTCTGTATTACTTTGGCAGTTGATCTGCAACTGTTGCCCATCAAAGATACTCTTGCTCCTTCAGATCCGTAACTGTTTGCTGTTCTTTATTGCTTTCTTCCTGCACTTGTCCAATTCCTACTGTGTCTTAGACTTCACCGTCACAGTCTGATCATTTGGCTTCTTCACAATTTGGTGAGTGATAACGAAATTTGTATGTCACTTTTCAATACAGTTCTATTTCTTAAAATGCTACTGACTAGAAAACTACATGTTTTATTGCTTCTTTTTTCCCCTTCTTGGGTTCGAAATTAGCATTTGAAAGAATATACCTAAATGCAAAATCCCAATGAAGAAGACATGCATCTCCAGTTGGTAGCTCAGTTGGTAAGATGAGTCGTTGAAGGAATCTAACCAGAAGACTAGGATTCAATCTCTGGAATCTAATATAACTACATTTACTAACATTTGCCTATGAAGAAAAATAACAGCTGGCAGAAATTCTAGTCTGTTTCTATACTTCTAATGATTCAAATGTATCTTCAAATTTTTATTTTAAGATTTCGATATGTTATAATAAGGAGATTCGGAAGTTTTTATTTTAAATTTTGATAGTCTTTTGGCTTTGGATAGGTCTGGCTCCTGTCCTACAAAATCCTTAAATGCTCCTTTTCCTCATAATTGTTTCTTGTTTCCTTTCTCAGTAAAAGTTGTTAGTAATTAGTTATGTTCTAAAAAAACTTGTTAGAACATATCTCTAGATCTCAATTGGACTCAAACCAGTCACCATTGCTGGACTGAAACATGTGATTAAATTTGGGTCAGTGTTGTCAATTGCAGATAGCTGAAAATAGCATATTATTGAAATTCTGGTATGCATTAGTGATATAACTCCGCTATAGCGGGCTATTTGACAGCAATTTGTACTAAATAGCATAGAGTAGAACAATGGCGGTATAACGGCTATTTGACAACAATTTGTACTAAATGCATTAGTGCCGATATAGTGGCTATTTAATAATGCTGATCTGGGTGGGAGTATTGTGTTGTGCCAGTCTTTAGATCAAGTGGGCTACATGAATATCAGAACTATGCTTGACGATACCACACATGAAACTTCTCTAATGACAAAAATCTATCATACCTTTCTGTATTTACAATATGAAGTCAATTTTTCTTGGTTATTCATCAACATTATGGAATTCAGCAGGTATTGTATGAAAGAATGTTAATTATAGAAATCCCCTCCGGAACAACAAATTCTCATAATTTGGCATGTAGGAACTTATTAAATTGTGTACCTGTGAAGTAGCTACCATCATATGCTTTTTTTAATACACCATGGCCCTTATTTACTTCTACAAATAGGTATTGTGGCTGAATTTTACACAAGATATTGAAAAGTTAGTCTTAGACTTTTAAAGGAACAGTAAACAAGAGACAATATTAGAATTTTAAAACTATTTATATACATGTCTTGTGTAGTCTTTGGCTTTATATTGGCCAAAAGAACTTACCATCACTACTCACCAGATCATGTGTTATTGGGTGCCCAGATTGTCCCAAAGAAACTAGCTACATTTCAAATGAGTAAGATTCAGGGTATCTCAAGAATATGCATATAGCCAACAAAATAATTGCTCTGTTTAAACAAGTGAATTATTAGTTTATATTGATAGGCGGGACTTTACTGAATTGATTTCTCATATTAAATGGATCTCCACATCTATATTGTCTTTATGGTGCTCGTAAGTATCTTATTCTATTTTTAATTATTTTTTCTATGTATCATTAATAAATTAACATTTGTTTCAACAATTAAAATATCTACATGGCACTGGAGAGTGCTATTACATCCTATATACAAAATAAGTTGGATGGCGAGTCAAAAAAAAGTTAGGATCACTGTTAGATCGGTAAGTACATGTTTCCTTCAAGGTTTTATAGTTTTTTTAATGTTATTTTGTAATATTTGAATTTTAATGATTTTAACACTATTGTTTTGAAACTACAACAATCACTGGCAGGTGTTTGTTATTTGTCCTCAAAAGATATTAATATCTTTTGGTTTTGTTCATTAAACAAAAAAACCCAAGAAATGTATTAAGGTCGTACTTGAGAGGTTAGAAACCTAAATCAAGAGATATCATTTATACTTCATTACCTTTTAAATTTATATTATAACTTATTTATGCTGCAATTTCTTTAATCAGAGCTGTAACATGATATTACTCATTAAGAGGTGTTGAGAATAAGAAGCTTAATTGGAAGATTGTCAAGGTAATTGATATGTTTTACTATATTGCTAGTTTTTCAAACTATGCCCTTAAGTAATGGAGTCAATGTGAGATAGATTAAATTGTGAGTGTGTCAAAAAGAAAATGACCTGGAAAGATCTTTATATCTCAAACTTTTTTTGAAGATTAGTTGAAGAGGCAGGGAGTTTCTTCATGAACATGACATGTTAACAAGAAAAATTGTATGAGCAGAATTTGATACTAGCTTTCATAAAGAATGGCGAGTAAAATATAGTTTAGTGACTTACTTGAATCCACAATAAGGTAATTTGTTTTCCTACGAATGTCAACATTTCTCACTCCAGCCAAAAGATACCCAACTATAGTATCCTGTGCAAAATAAAATAGGAAAGTTTTAATCATTTGAATCATAATAAATACCAATTACAAAAAACTAAATCTAAAACAAAATGGGGAAATGATCTGAGCAACAATGGATATGGAATATAAAAAACATAAGCTCAAATATAATGTCATCAGTTAGTTTCAGTTTTATTGAGGCAAATTGTAATGTTTATTTTTTGACTAAACTATATCTGATTTTAGTTAAAAAGATTAGAAAACCTCGAATGTCAAAATATTATTACTTTCAGTTTTCAAACATAGGGGTGTTTTAGTGCACTGCTGCTAAGATTGTACAACCAAGTATCTACTCATGTAGTCGTGTCTAACACTCCAATTGTCATTATATGGATTTTGGCTTTAGGGGAGTTTATTTTTTATTTTCTTATTTCAGGGTTTCATTTATATTAGTTGTTGGCTGGATTCGACTAAGAGTTATTGGACCTGCAGTTTAGGACTACATGTTAAAAATCATAGTGTAATTATACTCCTATTTCATTGACAAATTTGGTCATCAAAATATCAGCTTATGTGATATGGAAGTAAATTGGTACTTCTCAGACTGTTTGTGATGCAATCAAACTCAATGTATGATGCTCAAGGGCCCTAACCCCTAAGGATGACATCTGGCCGATTTTTTTCTTCTCCTATGATTTCGATATCCCTTTCTTCAACTTCATATGTGACAGATTTAATCTCATTGAAGGAGTGTGATCTCACAATTTAGTCTTTAATTCAAATCATGGTTTGATAGAACATGGGTAGTAATAGAACCATTGTTTGGTTTAGGAGGGATCTTAGAATTGAGGATAATCCAGCAATAGCGGCTGCAGCTAGGGATGGTTCAGTGTACCTGCAAGACACTCCGATGGCAAAGTGAGAGACGAAATGAGCAAGCAAGTAGATAGGTGTGAATGAATGAATACTTGACCCTCTCGAAATAGAGGGTATTTATGCCCCCTAGCGCTGGGCCAAGGTCTATTTATTGGGCTGATCAAACAAGCCCAACAAAGGGACTGTCAAGTTCTACGTGATTAGTGGGGACCCGCATGTGCCCCCTACCTGGATGATGCTCTCCGCAAGACAGGGAGGATGGAGACGCGATCTTATCGGGACCCTGAGGACTCTGCGAAATTCAGAGAGGTGAAAGTCAGCCCTACGAGGAGGGTGCTCGGGTAGAGCGCGCGCTCGTCGGGGACGTTCCTCGCGGGCACCGGCGGGAAGTAATCGTGGCCGACCAGATACCCATGATCGGAGTGTGCTCGAAGGATACACTGCTCAGCACGATATGTTGGCAAGTTTGGATTGGGCCTCACTAGTGATTGGGGCACGGGCAGACCCAGTCCAGAACATGAGCCCCCCAAGTCGTTGCTCCTGGTACGGGAGTTATGACTTGATTCAAGTTCTCCCTTTCGAGAGACTCGCTTACGCGACACGTGGGTTTTCAATTGGGGATGTGAGACATCGTCTGGTTCGTGTTTTGCTCCGTGCAGCGATCGAGAAGTGTTTTAGGAGCGCTCGCAGGGAGGTGGTGACGCGTCAGTCAGACACGTGGTGCGGCTCTTGGAAACCACAATGCCACCCTAGGGAGTAGGGTCATCATTGTCTACGCGAGTAGGCGTCTAGGACGGAGGCGGTTCGTGGTTCCCCGGCGCGACGTTTCTTATTCCACGTCATCTCTATAAATAGGGCTTCAGGACCCATAGTTTGTTTTCACATCTTCACGCTCTCATATTTTCTCTGTTTTTAATCATCGTGCGTTTCCCTAGCGTCGCTGAGACCGCCGCACCGTTTGCCGTGTGTTCATCTCCACCACCGTCGCTCCTCACTCTTCTCCCAAGTAAGTGTTTTTTCCCGTTGATATCTCATGTTGTAGATAGATTTTGATGGTGTTTTAGTGGTAGAATTTCATGTCTGGGGATTGTGCCCGAGAAATTTAAGCACCCTAGGCGCCTGATTCGTGACTATGCCAGCGACATTCATAAGTTTAGGCATACGATTTACGATCGTGCCCGTGAGACTCATGCGTTTGGCTAGTAGATTTATGAACTTGGTCGGGAGATTCATCCTTTCGTTAGTATGTAGGCTAGTTTTCCCCGTAGTATTCTTGTATCTGGCCAGCAACATTATGAACTTGGTCGCGGGATTCATCCTTCGCTCGCGATATTCATGCTATGCATGCGTCATTCACGATTGATACACGTTCGTCGTTAAGGTCAGTGTTTGGTCGAGGTCTACGTGTTCCCTGTTTTTCGTACAAATGGTCGTTGACTCGGTCTGAGTGTTGCTTACTTCTCCCCGTCTTTGTGATGGAAAAGTGGATTTGCTGTTGAATTCACCGGTTTCCCGTACTTTGCAGGGAAATGGCCGATATTTATGAGTCCTCGAGGCGTAATGATGTCGAGGAAACAAGCATTGTCGACAAAGGCATCAATTTGGTCGACATCGTCGATGACCCCACTTTGGATTGGGTTGGTGCTGAACCCCGGGGAATAGCTTCGATTTATAACTATTCCGCTAAATAAGCTTACACTATCGTCGAGTATGGCGGCGACCAGGAGGGATTTCGGAGAAACTTTAAGATTATGAGGCCGACGAGGGATGCCAGTATCTTCTCGGAGTTCACAGGACGCCTTTCCCATGTACGAGATCGTATTTAAAGATCTCGAGCTCCGGTTACCCTTCAATGACTTACAG